AGAGAGAAAAGAAATTAGAATTATTTACAAAATAGTTGCGAGAATTAATTCAATTGTTCTTAAATGTAATATTATTTCAATTAGAATGTTAACTAAATAAAAAAATGTGCATGAAAATTGTATGTGCACGTAATTATAAACATACTTGAACGTTGCATATACTTATTATATTAATTATTCAAATTGTTCGTTAATTACTAACGTACTGCACGCAACATGACTTCATCATATCCGGTTTAGATTAAAAAAACTTATTCAGCATTTTATTAATCATTTCTGTTATTTTATTATTTCGATTATTATTTCTATTATTTATTTCTAATATTTTTAATTGTTTATTTGTTACTCTTTAAAAACTTTTGCAAATTAATGATAAAATAAATTATATAATTTAAAACAAGCTTTCAAAGTGTGTATGTGTTGCTAAAAATTAATTTCATATTATTATAAAAATTATGTTTTTAAAAAAGAAATAACAGCGGTGCCAGTTACACGCAAATATTAAAAAATTTTTGCACAGAAAGTGTAAAATATTTTTACAAACAAAAAAATACTTTTGATTAAAAGATACTCAAATTTACAAAGTCCTTTATATATACAATATTATATATACACATTTATAACTTATACTTATTTTTTTCATAAAAAGTTAAGAATATAGAAGAAAATATACATATATGTTAAATTTTATATTTATATATATTCGCATCTTGTATCAATTCATTACGTCATTCAATAAGGATTTTTATTCATTTAGGATCCAGTACCACCAGAAGCATGGTCCGAAAATAGAGATGCTTCTAAATATGGAAACGTCGCTGTTCAATATAACATTTTTGATGGTACAATTATAGGTGATGAAGATTGTCTTTATCTTAATGTTTATAACACGGATCTTGAACTATCCCAAAAACGTGCTGTAATGGTATGGATACATGGTGGCGGATTTTTTATGGGAGATGGCAACCCAAGCATTTATGGTCCCGATTTTATCATTCGAAAAGATGTAGTTTTAGTTACTTTGAATTATAGATTAGGTGTTTTAGGTAAGTTATTTGCTATAAACTTTGTGTTAGTAAAATTGCGTTAAGTTTCCACAATCTTCTTTTTACATTTTTAAAATAAATATTAATTATTTTTTATTTATAATTAAATAGTTTTATTTATCAACTAAATAGTGTTGATTAATTATTAATAAGTTCAGTTTTTTAATATTATATAAATTATTATATAAATATTATATTAATTAAAATAAAACATGAATAATAATTACATTTCTTTATTTATTTCTTAAAGATATTTTTGACACATATTTTTATTATAAGAATCTTTTATAAAGTTTTAGAAGTTTAAATTATAAAGTTTTAGAAGTAAAATAAATAAATACAATATGTATAACATAATATAATATTTAGTACATATTTATATAGATTTTTTTAAAGTTTTAGATTTATCAAAAAAGTATAAGTTAGTTAGTATAATTATAGTTAGTATAATTATTAGTTAGTATAAGTAGTATAACTCAGGAAGTTAGAAGTCTGCAAGATAAAATCATCATTTTCGATTATATAAATATATATGTATCTGTTCCAATAAATACAAAAATAAAAAGATATTATAAAGAAACAAATATATATATATATATATATATATAAAATAAATAATATTAACTCGAATTGTAATTAGATGCATATTATAGTTAAATTACTAATTAAATAATATTTAAAAATGAAAGTTTTTCAAATTTAGAGCAAATTATTTATGGTAAAAATTGAAAATTAGAAATTATGTTTTTCTTTATGTATTTATTTAAAAAAATTTTTTTATCTTTAATAATTTTTTATTAAAAAAATATTGATTATATATAATTTTTTTATTTAAAAATATTTTCATTTTTGCTGTATAATAAAAATCTGTAATATTAAAAATACATCTTAGAAATAAAAATAATAATAATAATATTGAAGTGTAATGATAATGCAAATATTTATGTATTATCTATAAATATGCAATATAAAAAATATATTTTAACAAATTTTATTTCAAGTTAATTAACAACCCATTTTTATTCATAGTTTAGAATATATAATTTTGCGAAAAAGTGAAACATATTAATGATTTTAGGTTTCCTAAATCTCAATGACGAAGTGGCAACAGGAAACCAAGGTTTGAAAGATATAGTTATGGCACTAAAATGGGTCCAAAAGAATATAGCAAAATTTGGTGGAGATCCGAAAAATGTCACTATCTTCGGTGAAAGTGCTGGTGGAGCCATTGTACATTATTTGACTCTGTCTCCGTTAACTGAAGGTAATTATTTTATCTAATCTTTTACAAATATGATATTTTTATAATATATATTTATATAGATATTTAAACAGCTTTAAACAAACATTTAATTTAAACTTTGTTTATTATTTTATTAAGCATTTTATGATTAGTTTTTTCTCTCTTTAATAAGAATATTAAAGTAGTTTTGAATAGAAAGTAATTTTTAAAAAAGCTAATTTAAAAAAGCATTTTATGAGTCAACTTAATGAGCCAAATAAATATTTCTTTGATTAAATATCATCGACCGATAATACAGAATAAATATTACTGAAAATGTCAATTTCTAAAAAACAATTTATATATTTATACTAATAAAAAAAGAATAAAATTTTTTGATGATTAATACTGAATTCATTGTATTTTATAGGCTTATTTCACAAAGCAATAGCACATAGCGGTGTTGTTGTGAATCCTTGGGCCTATGATGATTTAATGACCAAGGATACAATGTTAGGTTTTGATCTTGTCAAGAAACTTGGAAAGATAACTTTAGATCCAAAAGTTGCTTATGAATTTCTTAAAACAGTTGACGCAAAATTACTCATAGAGACTGAAAAACAATCTCTCAAGTCAAAATCAGTAAATATTTTAACATATATTATCTTACACACACACAAAACACACAAAATACACACACACACACACACACACACACCAAATATTCATACATATACATATATCATATATATAAGATTTAGCATACATCTACACACACACACACATACACACACACACACACACACGCGCGCGCGCGCTATATATAGATGACTAAATATAGTATGACTAAATATATTGTTTT